AGAAGAGAAGAGAAGAGAAGAGAAGAGAAGAGAAGAGAAGAGAAGAGAAGAGAAGAGAAGAGAAGAGAAGAGAAGGAGATGTGATTGGTGTCTTCTAGTATCTGAAGGGCCGTTTTCTGGAAAACAGGGCAGAATTGTTCACAGGTTCCAGAACCAGGACAAGAAACAATGGATTTCAGTTAAAAGAAAACAGAGCTAGGCTGGACATCATGAAAAATTTCCCAAAAGTAAGAGCTGTACAATGGAACAGACTACAGGAGTTGGTGGACTCTCTCACCTGGGACATGTTTAAGCAGAGACTGGAGGTGGCTATCTATTGAGGACATGGTAGTAGTTGATTCCTGCACTAGGCATGAGGTTCGACTAGTTTATCTGTAAGGTTCCTTCTATTCCTTATATTTTAAGATTCCTGTATTTGGAACTCATTTAAAGCATCCTGATTTCTTTGCACATCCTTTTCAGCCTGTTATCACGAAAGCTGTATTGGCCTTTTTAAGTGGTTTTTACATTCCTTCCTTCCTTGACTACTTTTCAAAGGTTATTCACATCATTTCACCTTTTAGTCTAGCATCATGTCTTCGTTACTTTCTCTATTATTTGTAATATCTTCTAAAACTAAAGATCCTTTTTCTCAACCTTCTATGTTCTCCTGCACTAATAAAGCATTAGTAATATGTCATCTCAACATCTTATACTGTTTCTTTCATCTTTTGTTATATTTATTATCCATTATTTTCAGAAAAGATCTTAATAATTTGAAGTTGCACCACGGAATAATCATGTTTTAATAATTTAAAGTTGCACCATTGAATAACTTTTGAAATAGAAGAAAAAAACAGCATAGTAAATTATCACACATGTTTACATCAGTTGTCAAAATAGATGAACTACATCCATTCTTTCTGCTTAGAATGTGCAGTCAACTCTAAATAATAAAATGATCATTACTTTTTCTTTGAAGATTTCCAAAACATATAATGTCACACAACAGTAACAAATTTCCCATTTCTCTTTTATATTGGAGTTACCTAACTCACTCTCTTTTGTTCCAGAGTGTTCTTCAAACCTTAGGTGTATCTGAGATGCAACATACCGCATCAGGTAGGTAGGAAGAAAAGGTTTATTTCACCAATTCTAGTCACACATCTTCATATTTAAACAAGTGAATTTCAGTTTAAGAAAAACTTATTTCTCAAGAACCTACTGAAGAAAATGAAGAGATGTACAGTATGCTAATATAATCCCATGAGTTAATGTGGCACTTAGAGGTAAACAGTGCTATCACTGTTAATTTTAAGATAGCTGTTTGATATCTTTCATAGGGGAATAAACAAAAGCCTTTATAACATCCTTGAAAGATTCTGTAAGTATTTTTACAAATGTTACACCAAGCATGTACATAAAGGAAGCAGAATGATAAGTCTGTCTTATAAATGTGCTGACTGGAGTGTGAAAAAGCCTGCATATATAAAACTTGCTCTGTATAGTTGGGGCTTTGATTTAGGTAGCTTGCATTTGCACAGACACCTGTACTGCTAAATGCATTTTCATGGCAGAATAGGCCAGGGCAATGCACTCATTGCATTCATGCATTCAGTTTAATATGTATTATCAATATTACAGGACAATTTACTTACCTATTTTTCTGGGACATTTTGCCCTAAGAATGTTAGTATCATGTCTAGGTTCCCATGACACGCAGTGATTTTTGTTCCATAAGCACCTTAACCCTGGCCCAGCCATTTTACAAAGATCTTCATCTCTGAATGCTTCACAATTGGGAGGTTTGTATACAAGGATGTCATTCAACAAAATGCTTGAAAAGCCTCCAAATATATACATGGACCTATTAAATAAAACAAAGTAATATTGTGTTTCTACAAGAACAGATATCAAAGCCATGAACCTGCCTTATTTACACCCCCCTTTTAAAAGTGTATGTGGGTGCACCTGTATATTTTTAGCATTACTTGTCCTAACCAGAGGTAGGCAGCCTATGGCTAATAAGTCCATTTTTGCAGCCCCTTGAACCCATTAAGCTCATTCTGCTGAAACTGAGCAACTAGCTGCTAAATAAATTCTGCCAATTTTCAGAAGGAAACTAAATAAAACAGATGAAAAGACTACAATCAACTTTACACATCCATAAAAGTTAAACTTTCCAATCAAAACATGGAAGAAATGGACTGAAAAAAAGGTAGCACTGTTTCCTCCAGTAATATCATTACATTACTGGCACTGCAAACATGAGCAGTTGAAAAAAAGATCCAAATAATGAAGGTCCCCAAACTTGTTCACTCTTGGCTAAACTCATAGAAAGGAAAAAGTATAATATACCTAACTATATGATCCAGGCAGATCCTGACAGAATTAAGTATGAATTCATGTAAGTACTTTTTTAGCTTTCTAATGAAAAGAAATTCATTCAGATCTGTATAATTCACTAGGTTATTCCATATATACAAAACAACATTATCATGAGCATAGTTTTAATCAAGATTGTCTCCATTTTCCCTTTAGGCAACTTGATATTAACTATGTCTATTTAAATTAGTTTTAATTTAAAACTTCACAGGTTTGGCTGCCTGTTTAAATAGAAGAACACAGAAAATCCATGTAATGATTTTTCACTGTGTTCACAACTTTTGCATATCATAAAATATATGATGCACAAGTGAACAATCTTAAAACTAAATGTTGATCTTAGCATTTATATAAGCATTTGAAAACGTAAGTCAAAGCAATGGCTCGAAACCGCTTTTCCATGAATATAAAACCAATCCAGTAAGTTACACAGAACACAGTAATACCAATAATAAAAAAAGTAAATCGATCAGAGGAGAACTCTATGTGGAGATAAAAAAGGCAGACAAGGATTCCCCTTCTCATTTGTCTTCAGATCAGACAATAGACAATGAATGGATCAAGATTACACTGGAAACTACTATGGCAACTCAAGCCTTCAACAATACTCATCTGGACCACTTCAATATACTCTACACGCCTTTTAAGATTCCACTCAGAAACTGCAATTGTTTCAGAATGTGGCAGTCTAATAAGTTTCAGAGTGCAATTCAAAGTGTTGGAGTTGATCCTTATGGCTTGGCACCTAGAAAACTTCAGAACCACCTCCTCTGAGACTTGACCTCTCTGAGATGCTTACCCCAAGAAAAGCAACCCATTTTCAAAAGGTGAATGGGACTGAGGCCCAAAAATGTTACTTTTACGGGATGATCTTGGTCCAAAACGGAATTGTTCTGGGGGAGGATAATTGTGATTTTGCCTATGATTTATGCAATACTGGGATTTTAATCTTAAACTTTAATTTCAGTCTTATTTATACATTTCGTTTTATATGGCATTTTAGTCATTATATTTTATTTGTTATAAACTGCCAGGAGTTGGTCAGATGAGCTGGTATTTAAATTTAAATAAGTAAATTATAATAGTGAAAATATTCCATTTTAATCTTAAACTTTAATTTCAGTCTTATTTATACATTTCGTTTTATATGGCATTTTAGTCATTATATTTTATTTGTTATAAACTGCCAGGAGTTGGTCAGATGAGCTGGTATTTAAATTTAAATAAGTAAATTATAATAGTGAAAATATTCCTGTTTTACAAGTTCTAATTTAAATGGAACATAATATTGGCTTACATATTAGTCAGACAATAATTCATATTATTCATGAATTTTGTATCCTGAAACAGCCATTAGAGGTGTTTTCTTTTGACAGTGTAAGAGATGTATATTTACCCATTGCTGACAATTGCAGAATGACCAAATCTGTTCACATCCCGATGAAGGCTTGGTTTTGGAAGAACTTTCCACTCATCACAAGCTAATAAGGGAAGAGAATGTAATTTGCTGTTATTGAACTTCAAAAGAATATAAATCAGTATTAGTAGAAACTGTAACAATTATAGAATAACCCAAATCTCTCACATCACAATGAAAATAAAGTTCACAAAGAATTTTCATCCGAAAATAATAATGTAAAAAATATGGTTACAATTTCCTGTTCATAAGCTTCAAGAAAATATATCCCAGCATTTTAAAATAACAACTGATATATCTGTACACAACTTTTAACTAATTTAAATACTATACATTCAGTACTTGAATGTATTGAACTCAGTGTAATTTCAATTCATTGTAATCCAGTCAACCTTCTAAAATAGATTAACATTATCATCTTATTGCAGATGTACGATCTGCAATAAAATATGCAGAATCTTTGGTGCTCTCTGAGCTCAGTTACTTGCAGACATTTCATTACCTGACTAGGTATCATCATCAATGCTAGCGAGTGTGGGGTTTGCTCCCTGTTTATATACAGTAGCTTGCTCTGCCAGTGTTGGTCAGGGTAAGGTTTTCTCCTTGGTAGTTCTTGATTAGGGTATTGCTTTCTGTTTGTTTGTCTGGTATTAATCCCTGCTTATTTGGATGTTGGCTGCTGGAGAGGATGTGTTCTGGTCTTTTTGTTTCCTTCTTAGCGTTTTTATTGTCTTTTTAAAATGGTGTGTAAATGTGGTTTATCTCTATGTGTCTACTGATGGCTGATTTGTCTGAATACCAAGCTTTCAGGAATTCCCTAGCATTTTTGGATTTAGCTTGGTCTAGGATGCTCAGAGTTTCCCAGTTGAAGCTATGGTTGAGTTTGTCCTTGTGTTGTGAGATTAAGGAGTTTTCATCATGTCTTCTGACTG